CGTTTAACGTATTTTTAACTGTTTTCGATAAATGTTTGAACTATTCGATATGTCCATAATGTAATTCTTGAAATAAGTTTCGAAATGATACAAATAATTTGTAGATTCGATTAGCGTACTATCGTCGGAGAATTTTTAAAATTTGTATATTTCGAAATTCAAATTTATTTTTATTTTACCCCTGTTTGGTGGAGATTAAAATCAAATTTTTGGTAAATTTTGGTACAAATTAAATAGTTATGAATTTCATGAAAATATGTTATTAAAATTAATTGTTAATTTTGATTTAGATTAAAATTTAAATTTCAATCAATAACAAACGTGATTTAAAAAAAATTGAATCTCAAAAGTTGGGGAGGCACTGCCCCCAAGGGCCCCCCTTGGGTCCGCCCATGAATAGCCTAATATGGAGTATTGCATTTCAAATACGCCACCAGTGATAACCAGTGAGCTCCCCGATGAACTTTGGGACATTATATCCTTTAGTTTTGGTCCAGTCATTAAATCAATGAAGAGGGAAAATGAAGATAATATATGGAAGAGACAGAAAACCCATCCTGTACGCCTTCATACAATTCCTGATAGAAACTGCTAGACTCTATCAAAAGATTTTGCACAAAAAAATTGTAAAATGTAGTAGTATTTCTGCCAATTGCATCTCTGCTTATGGAGTCCATCATAAAGAGTCGTGTTCCCATCGATTAGCAAGGATATCTAGGCCTTCACATCGAACTGCAATTTACACAGTAAAACTCTACAAGAATATTTCAGCAACCTTATGTCTCAGGGGAAAAAATAGAAAAGAAGAAAATCCGACCCCCGCTCAAGAATCAAAGCTTGCCCCAGGATTTAGAGACTTGGAATCGGGTTGACGGTTGAGTAAATCTTCTGAAATTGTCAATTATTCTTCATCACTTGGAGCTTCAGCCAACCTGAAATCCTATTATCATATATTGAATGTCGTCACTTATGAAAAAATACCTGATGCTTCAGAAGACATTCCTTGAGAAATTCTCAGATTCTCCCATAGTCACGATGCTTACTTTTTGGCACAGTACATCCATGGAATCCACACCATTTGACTGAATCATCCCAGAGGAATGCACAATTAAATGCAGAGTATGTTTCTTCTTGAAAATCACCTGCCCAAGTTCACACATTCAAGGAGTGATTCTGTTTGTCCATTGTCACCATAACCTTTCCGTGTCTTATTCTTGTCACAAAGAGCTTTTCTGACCGCATTTTGAATCTGTTTCTCGTGCTCTTTGAGCATTTCCTCCATATTTCCACCGGGGAACAATGGTCCAGAATAATGGATCCGAGTCTTCTTTGGAGTATAACCCTATCATCAAATCCAAGATGATAAGAAACTTTTAAGTGTTTCTTTTCTCTTCTAAGTACTAAAACGGGGGCGGGTGTGGGGATGTTCCCTACATGATGAAAACATAAAAAAAGTAACTTCTTACCATTGTGGTCTCCTTACGAGGAACCCGTCCATCATTCTTGTAAGAATTTGGTCCCAACAAATGGTGGGAGGACTCGGCATCATTTAAACGATTATATTTGGTACTCAAACGGTCTTCCTGCCACTGTGAGTGGGAATTGGCCTCTCTGCTTAAATCAAGTTGTGAAAAGCCACGAGCAGCTACCGAATTCGAGAACTTAGACAGTCGTGCTGCGGACCCTGAGCGTTTATGAGAATCAATTTGGGGCCTTCCATCCACAATATTTAAGGAATTTCCAGATCCATCCTTTTGCATTAAATGCCCAGTATGCAAGGATCCTCTGAAAGGCTCAATTGGGAAGCCAGAAGCACCATCTTCTTCTGGAGCGTACTTCTCGCTGTTGCTTTTGGGATTTGACTGCCCTTTCCGTTTCTGAATATCAGAACACGAGTTAATATAGAAATGCAACTGCCATATTAATCATATAATACGGGCTGATAAAACAAAATACCTGTATAGACGTATGTAATTCAGCATTAGCATCAGGTGCTGGCACTGCTTTAGATCCCTTTCTGTTGGATTCAACTCCGCCTCCTTTTCCACCAGCAGCTCTTTGCCTGGTGACAAGTTCAAGGGATTTCATGAACATTACAGGCGTCCGTATTTTATTTGAACAAAAGAACAAAAATATACATCATGACCAAGATTCCAATGATTGTTTCGAAGTATTATATAACATGCAAGCCACTGAACACTGCCTCATTACACAACAGCACAAGACATCTTGACAAACAATGCTACCAGTTCTTTAGAATTTATACTGACCAAGAGGCAGAAATCACAATTCATAATTTCTCAAGGATAAGATTGAATGTGCACCTTCTTGCCTCCTCATCGTGAACCTTGGCATCAAACTCCTTGCTAGGAGGGTATTTGGGCAAAGATGACGGGTCACAAGGTAGAGGTTTTGCAGTGAAAAACTGAAAAGAGACATCTCATAAGTACATAGCTTCCAAAAATGTATTATGTTGCTGTAATTAATGCTTTTTTGATAATAAAAATAAACTAAAAAATATCAAGTCAAGTCAAGTCAAGGAAAAAGATGAAAAATGTGAATTTGCTTGAACAGAAAACCACATGGCATACAGCACAAAGCATAAATTTGATCTAGATAAACTTCATCTTAATGGCAACAAGTGCAAATATAAGCATGGCTTCATATAAATTTGATTCAAACATAACCAAATGGAACAGTGTAACACATAATCACCTCCACAATCATTGTTGTTATTTAGCCCTTGTTTGGTCCCATTTTTTCTGAAACTCATTTTTCAACCATATATTCTCCCATACAAATAATTTTACATGTAAACCCAAAACTTTTTCATCTTTTTTAACCACACGTTCATCAAAAAAATCACCATTCCTAAACACGTTTCTCCTAAAAAATGGGTCTCAAACAGGGGCTTAATGTTCATGATTATAAACAGTCTTATAATTGTTGTTCCTAAAACTGTTACCACCATCATTTTCATTTTCTTCTAGTACTAATCTTATAGTAAGTGCCTTCTGCTTCTATATAGTGCCTTGAGGAACACAAGCGTTAATTTAGCAACCCCAATAACTGCATGGCAATTAAGTACAACTCACCCCTATTGAAATATTCTGAGTGTACTTGGTTACAAATGTACAGATCATTTTACAATTTCAATAAACTATGTTAATGTGTTTTGATCAACACATTCTTCTCGTGGAATGTAATAGTTCTATAAAAGTTACAACAAGAATCCAAATAAATATTTCAGCATACTTATTTTAATTTCATGAAATCTGATAGAGTGTCCATCTTATATTAAAATCATATATTATTGCTAGTTGAAAAATTCGATTTCCAAAGATACTTCCAAGGAAATAGAAAAACACCAGAAATACTTGGATAACAAATTGTAAAGTAGCAATATTTTATTTCAAAATGGATTGCTTTTTATGGGTACTTTTATTTCTTCTTAATAAAGAACTAAAGTTCAACTGCATGCAACTTCTAGAATTTTAAGGGTGTTCTAGTGAAAAGCTTTTGAAAATGTTGAGTGGAAGTGACGATACAGTCCCTCTTGAAAAGAGAGACTAAAATGTGGCTATCTTCCTTTCTTCTTTTGATCTAAAATCAATTTGGACTCCAATCAAATCTTTAATAGAGATATAAAAAAAAAAGTCGGGGAGAAATCTGTATGTGACATGTAAAAGGTTGCTATACAGTATGCAATAAACATTAGGAAGATGCCTGATGGTTAACGTGGGAGAATTTCAAGAAGCCCCTATACAATACAATTAGAAATCAATAGAAACAATAAGAATGGGTTACCAATGAAAGAAATCGATTAGCTACGCACCTAAGCCTTTCTACACTCTATACAGCATAATCTCTCAATGAATAGCAGATCACAAAGCATTCAAGTGCAAGAGAAGTAAAGATGCAGGACACTCGGTTTTTCAGAGACCTAGATTATATACATAGAAGACATCTTTTGAATTCCAGAATTTAATGAAGAGAATGGCTAAATGTCGTACCCCGAGCCCATTGGATCAGGATTTATAATGAAGGTTTCACAGCCTATAGACACCCACCGTTGGCAGTAACTGTCAAAAGTTGGCACTCAAGTTGGATAATTATATACTCCATTTGGAAATTTATAAATCAAATCAGACAGCGCACACCAATCAAATCCCAAGGAAAATTACGTCTTNAATCAGACAGCGCACACCAATCAAATCCCAAGGAAAATTACGTCTTCCCTGATTCTGGTTCAGATCCAGAGAGAGATCGGTTCCGGTATCAGTAGCTCAAACGAGCATTCAAGGGGAAATGGCTTGTTTGGTGGACGAATAGTAGTGGGTCCCACAAGACATGTGGATAATAATTAGTAGTTAAGAACCTGTTTTACTTTGACAGAATTTATAAGCCAATTTACGTATTGTATCTAAAAAGAGGCTTAGAAACACAACCAACATTGAAATGGTGTTCAGATGATTCTCACCTACCCAATGTAGGACTACAGTTAAAAGTGCTTAATCTGACAATTTTTTGGAGAAAATTAGTTTTACCCGACTTTGAAGAGCAGAAGTTGTTGATCCTCGACACTCCGGCTCAAAAGCAAGGAGAGTTTCCAAAAGTTCTAATGCAGTAGGCGGGAAGTCCTTAAATGTATCAGCCACAGAACGTTTGTAAGGTTGTTGAGGTTTGAAAATTGTCGCATGCGGCAATTTTGATTTCCTCCAGTATTCTTCAGACGGAGAACCACAAAGTTTAAAGATTTTGTGCAGCTGTTCGACCTGCATACAAAGTTAAATGGTAACAAATAATGGGTCATAAAAATTACATACAAAACATTATGAAGTGAAGACTCCTTGGAAAAAAAAAATTTAATATTTGAGCAAGATCCCAAGACAGGCACAAAAATAGAAGACAGTCGTGAAACTAGAAAATAATAATTTGCACCCAAGATGATCGATATTAGCAGAATCATCCATGCCTTATTAATGTTATTCATACATTCATAATGATACCATGAACGCTTTAGGCACCCTTAAGGTATATTTTTCAGATGCCACTACACAATCACAACCTGTTTTTGAAAAATGGATACAAAGGACCCATGCTTCAGCACAAGCACCAGATATTGCAAACGTTAGGAAACACCTAAAAAATATATAATCTTTTGGTTTTAAACACGCGGCATAGTAGTAACAGAAAAGACCCTAAAATTATAAATATCATAAAAGGTAAAGCCTTGCTCCTGACATGGTAAAAAGTAAGATACTATCATGCCTCAAGCCCACGGAGGGGATTCTTTGAGCATGACCAACACATGGGCCTTGTTTTCCAATTATCCAAAATAAATAGTCCAGGTTATTTACCAAACGCACATGGGATATCAGGTTAGAGAACCAAGAATGCATAAAATTCCAAAATATATTCTCAGTTTTAGAAGAAAATTAGCTTGCCTGGAATTTCACCCAAACCATATTCTTGGAAAGGTTTTACATAAATAAGAGTGTTTGGGACACATTCTTTTGAAAAAAATGTATTATTGAATAATAGATTGATGGAGAATGTGTGGTTAAAAATGAAGGAAAAGTTATTGATGTGATGGAAAATATTATTTTATTGAAAAATGTGTGGTTGAAAATGAGTAGAAAAATGAGAATGAAAAAAAAATGTGTACCAAACAGAAAGAATGTATTATTGAATAGTGGATTGATGGAGAATATGTGGTTAAAATGAAGGAAAAGTTATTGATGTGATGGAAAATATTATTTTATTGAAGAATGTGTGGTTGAAAATGAGTAGAAGAATGAAAACGAAAAAAATAATGTGTACCAAACAGGGCCTAAATGTACCACTTTTATGGTTTTTACTTTTATAGAATTATAGGAAATATAGGTTATTATTAACAGCACTTTCATTTCTTTCCGAAAACCATTTTAAGAACAGAGCAGACAAATGTGTTTTCAATTATCAGATACGTGGATCCATTTGTAGGAGAACTGAAAATAAAATTGCCTAAAAGGTCAATACAGCCAACAGCTCGAGCCACAGATTGCTACCCCAATATTCATATGTACACCATACTTGAAATTGCACGAAAGACCTCGATCACAGCTTATTGCAAGTTCGATAACTACTCATTAACAAAATCCTCTTTTCTCATTATGCTATGGAAGTATCTGATGTTTTCATCTCTACTGCTTTCTTCAGATGTTACAATTGAAGAACCGTGTGAAATAGAAATGTAAAATACTCTTAGTCGATAGTAGAGGGTAATCTTTCTACAAAACATAAAAGTAGTATCATTTTCATGAATAAAACATGAAACGAGAAATCAAGCAATTATAAAACAATGCAGACTTGACCATATGCAAGCCCACATTGATCTGGGAATGTACCTCTGTTCTTCCAGGCATGATTGGCTTGCCTGCAAACAGTTCAGCAAGAATACAACCAGAACTCCACAGATCTACAGCTACTCCATACTCTGTAGCACCAAGTAAAAGTTCAGGAGGTCGGTACCACAAGGTAACAACACGACTAGTTAGAGGCTGCTTCTGATTGGTTCGGAAAAAGGTTGCCAGCCCAAAATCACCAATCTTGAGATTTCCATTGTTGTCAATCAGAAGATTTGAACCCTTGATATCTCGGTGAAGGACTCCACGACTGTGACAATGTTCAAGCCCACAAAGCAGTTGCTGCATGTAACATTTGATCTGCATGCCCACAGTAAAAAAAACCATTGACGGTAAAAGAACGGTCACAAAAGGTCGTTTCAAATATAAACAGAAACATGAAAAATATTAGTAGATGTTGTCAAAAGTGGCATGTTATTCATCTAATGCAGAACTACATCTGAAGAACCAGAACATATATAGTCACAGCTTGTGTACGATATGGATTATATATTTATCACAAAGTTTGCTCGTTTAAATAATATTTTGAGAAAAAGATTTCAAGATTTCCATTCATTATCAGAACTAATCATGACACAGTCTTGAGTAAGTAATGTTCTCGATAGGCTCAAATTGAGCAAAAATGAGACTTGGTCTAGGCTCAAAGTAGACTAGAGTAATTGATAAAGTAGCTCGAAAGACATAAGGATTGACCAATCTAAAAGCACAATTAAATAACATAGCATCTTATATATTTATTTAGATGTAAAGTTAACAGAAATGCATTGATCCGCTACATTGCACTCTCATCTGCATTAGATCTATTCAAAAGTTTTAAGAGGAAGAAAAACAACAACATTGTCTTTATAAACCATCAAAGCAAAAGGAAATAGAAGAAAAACCTACTTATTTTAGGTGTAATGATTGAACCAACAATCTAACTATATGAAGCAGAACAAGAATTTATGAGAACTAAGTTTCATAGAATTTAATAGCAACATGGTTTCAACCTATCATAGACTCATAGTTGGTTTGCTCAATCCAAAAGCTTGACAAATGACGTCTCAGATTCTGCTCTGGTGGAATTCCAAATTTATAATGCCCTAAAATTAGGCTGCTAGAAGATAAAGATCATGCACAAGTTAAGATAATGTAGATCTCATTATATGATTCTACAAACAACATCAAGATTTATAAATCACTAATCAGTTTATGATATGCACTTTACTAGTGGGTGTAGATTTATTTAAAAAGAAAAGACTACAGTTATGAAGAATCTATAACTCAGAAGATATAAATAACAACAATGGCGCCCCTATCTTGAGCTAAATCAAATAGCAAGAAAGAAGGAGAGACCTGTGGCTCAGTAAACCTAACCGCTGGAGAAGCTGAAAGTCCTGCAAGGTCGTGCTCCATGTACTCAAATACAAGGTACAAATTGCCTGAAACCCTGGAAGTGACCAGACCTTCAAGCTTCATCACATTTGGGTGATCCAGCCTACGTAGAATAAGGATTTCCCTAGCCATGAAACGGACACTTTCTGGATCCATGTTAACAAACCGCACCTTTTTCAGTGCAACAATTCTTCCAGTTTCAAGGTCACGAGCTCTGTACACACTGCTGTATGTCCCTTGACCAATCTGTGAAATTGCATTGTAGTAGTTGAAATAATTTTACAGTGATTTATACCAGAGAGAAGTCAAACAACACTTAGATTATGTCAATGTTTCAGATGCAAGTCCCATAATTACCTTCCATTGCTTGGATCAAGTCAAAGTAAAGTTGAACGATGTGTCCTGCTTCTAAGAAAATAATATATTGGAGTATGAAAGAATATATGTCTCTCCTTGGAGTTCAACAGCAACCCATGTGGCAATCTAAGATATTTGGGTTTAGCACTTTAAGGAGTCAACGGCATAAAAAGAGCCAGAAATGATCATCTCTCTTGCTAAAAGCTTAGAATTTATGTGGTTTTTGGCTTTTTGCAGAGAAGAAGTTTTGACTCAATTATAACAGAACGTCATAGTGACCTATCCTAAGTGCTAGACCCACCTTTCACGCCATGATCTGTTTGATTCTTAACAAAGCATAGCATAATGTAAATGAGGAAACTTGATTCATGAATACGTCTAGGTCCAGTTAAGATAGGGAATCTCCGAGGGCAACAAAATACTTACGATCTTCCCTCAAATTCAAAGTTTAGCAAAATTTCTACATGATTGGAACTAAAGTGACCGGTGGAAAGTGACATCATAATGATGTGCACAAACAGTGGAATCTGACCGATGGAAAGCCGGAAAGCCAAATAAACAAGATAATGGAAAAACTTACACGTGTAAACAAACACATAAATGAGAATGAAATGGAAGTTGGAGGTACAAACATATGTATATATACAAGTACCCGGGGTGGAAATCTTCATTTTATTTTACCTTATCCAGCTTCTCGAATGAGTCTGCCTTTCGAGGTACCCATCCTTTGATGGCCTCTCCAGCCACGGCAGTCAGCCACGATGGCCATCCAGCAACAACTTGTGCCCCATCAATTCCATTTCGGGTGCTAAATACTCTACACATCTGCGGCTGCCCTCCTCTTGCTTCAGCATCCATTGTTGCCTGTCTTTGCATATGGGGAACCTCAGTTTTATCAGAAACTATAGGCTTTTTCTGCCCCTCGTCCCACAAAGCAGGGGTAGAGCCAGCACTTTTCTCAGCATGCTCCTCCGATATGAGCCTTGTTGTTGCATCATTTCCTCCATTATCAACATCTACAAGAACTTCGTCCTTTCTTGATGAAGATACGAATCTTTTAGAAGATTTCTTCGATACTTTCTCTTTCTTAACTTTATTCTCATCTTTCGATCCTTTAGAGCAAATGCAGCCCATACCAATTAAGAGTTTCAGTCTCTCGTGCTTATTAATCTGAAACTTTATACTCCTAAAATAAAAACCTAATTTATTTTTCCCAAATACCCGTAGCATTTAGCTGTGATCTTATCAGCATTCTATGCACCCAAGAACACTCCAATAAATCAAAAGATCCTTAAATTAGTAGTAATCCAATTCTATAACCAATGTAGCATCCGAATCTTAACCCCCACAAAATCAAACTCTTGATATCCAATGTATACAAACTACAGCATTAACAAAATCTCGGAGCCCAGATTCTTAAATCAATAAAACTTGAAGACCCAAATATAAGGAACCTCAAATTCTTTGCTGAACGGAAAGTGCACAATGAAATCAGATATAAAATAAATACCTCCACAATAAATTCAGAAGCTCCGGTATGGTATCAACAGAAAATGATTCTGAACACAGCCCAGATCTCGAAAACCAATATTTTTAACAAAAAACAACCCACATTGCCACAAAATCAAAAATACCAAAATAAAAAATCAAAGAGAAAATGATAAAATTATTTTTTGAGAAACAGAAATTGAATCGATGTGAAGCGTGAATTCTGGGTTTGGGATGGCTGTTCCGCAATTATCTACGGTAAATTGAGCAGCCCCTGATTTTTTTCTTATTCAACGACACACAACTTTTTGATATACATGAAATGAAACAAAAACAAAGAGAGATTTTCGGATCTGAAGCGTCCCTAGAAATGCGAGTTACCCCTTGATATTTGGACCAAAAACAAATACTTTACAAGGCAGAAAATTTATATATTTCTTTAAAATCTGTAAAGACCTCTTTCTTGAGTAATTGAATGAAAATTCTGTCAGAAATTCTACTGATTTTTTTTTTTTTTTTTTTTTTTTTTTTTTTTTTTTTTTTTTTTTTTTTTTTTTTTTTTNTTTTTTTTTTCCGAGAGAGAGAATGAAGCGTGTCTTGTGAGGAAGAAGGAAAGACTGCAGCAAGACCGTAAGGCCCACTGCATTTTTCGCTGAATGACACGTGGCAACCTAGTGTGCTAAGTGGGACCCACTTCAATACGCAGATATTTTAGTGCATGTTTGGACTTTGGCCTAAGCTTTATTTAAGAAAATAATTATAAATAAGTTAATTTTAAAGATAATTATTTTGGTGATTAAAAAAGGTAACTTTTTTATTTGTAAGAAAGAACAATTTATTCTGACATATTTACGAATAAAAATTTACTTAAAGTAAATCATGTAATTTAATATCGTACTTAAGCAGACAAACGAAAAATAGATTTTATTAAAAAATATATAAATTAAANTTTTATTAAAAATATATATAAATTAAAAATTGTATTTAGTCCTTGTTTGATGGCTTTTATTTTGAAAAATGGTGTTTTGAATATTGATTTTTTGCAGAATCTGTTGTTAAATTGTAGAGGAAAAATTCGGATTTATATACAAATATTTTATCGTGTAAATGTGATGAGTATAAGAATTGAAGAGTTATTTTTAATGAAAATAAATAAAGGCTTAAGGTATTGTGGAACGTGTGGACGGTTGACCAATTTTTAAATCAGATCACTTTTTTGAGATTATAAATTAGTCGAACTTTATTTTTAATTATACATTTTATTGAATCCTCGGTTTTTATTCACGTTTTAACCACGCATCTCATAGGATTTACGAGCTTATAATCTCAAAATGTCAAAACAATGACTTAGCTCCTGTTTGAGTCCTATTTTTTTAGAAATATTTTTTTTTTCAAAACTAAATTTTCTCTTATAAAATAATTTTACACGTAAATCATTTTTCTCTATTTTTTAACTACACATTCTTTAAAAAATTATTATTTTCAAATATTTTTTCTCTACAAAAAAAAAAAAAAAAAGAGGGGGGGGGGGGGGGGGGGGGGGGGG